AGAGCACAGTTTTAAATGCCATTTTCTTAAATAATAATAGTTGTGTTGTTGTTCAATTCTTATTCGGAAATGCAGTTTAATATCTGGGGAAGTCTAGAAAGCAGAATTTTAGCAAAACAGATCGAAAGGTTTTTGAAAGGAAGGAATCAAAAGCAGGAATCCACTACATTAAATTTCTTCATGACAGCCTCCAAACCCACACACCCTGAAGAGTAAAGGAGTTTTGGCGATACACAGAAAGTTGATGTTTTATAACATCAACAATATTTGTCAGATCTTTTACCCTTTGACTTAACTTGAAAAAAAACCTTTCAGAAGAACTTAGTCCAGGAAATTATAGGATCTGCCATATTCCAGAATACGAAGGGCCATACTAAAAATGTGTTCTAAAAACAATCAGAAATTACATAAAAATGTTACGGAGAAGTGTTTTAATTAAAAGAGAATATTTAAAGTATCCAGATCATTTAAAAGCGTTTTTGTTTCTTTCCGAGCATCGAGGACATAATTTATTGAACAACCCTCATGAGTAGGAATTGGAAGCATTTCCATTTCATTAAAACTCGCTTCACAAGTAGACGACTCTGATATGCATATATAAGAGAGCTGTTTGGAAATCATTGAGACATTTACTTTTACTCAATAAAGGGCAGAGATACATTCGTGAAAAATCATTTAATAAAGAACAAATGAAATAAATGTTCAAAATTTCTTATTTAAATGTTAGGTAGATAAGTTCTTATTAAATTATAAACACGAATATGGCTATTGACCTTTAAAACATTTTTGTTATGTAATCCTTTGTGTTTTTAGTACATTATATAGCATAATAGATTTGGATATTTAAAACCTGTACATTAAGTCACCTTTAACCGTACATTAAGTTGAAAAAAACTCTCAATTCTTGACTTAATCGACAGCTTTTTGTCAACTTAATGTACAGTTACAGGTACCTTAATGTACAGGTTTTAAATATCCAAATCTATTATGCTAAAAACATGAAATGCTAAATATTTTCTGAACTTCATTAGTAATGAAAACAGTCAAATAATTTTTTTAATTTAATACACAATCATACATAAATATCAAACATTTTATTCTATATATGAAATGATCAACAGTATATCGTCTTTGGAAAAGAAAAAATCCAATGAAAAAAGACACACTTGTAATTTCCTGATGCATAATAATTTTAGAACATGCACATCCAGAAGTTTCCTAGTTTATTAATAAACAATACTTCTTATCCTCTTCACAACATTTGTAAATGAATGCTGGACGTGGTAAATCCATTCCATGAATGTTTAGAAATACATATCCAACAGCAATTTAAATTTTGAAAGAGAAAGGTGTATTTCCCGATGAAATGATAATCTCACTAGATGCACCACAGAATCACAAACAGGGATCACAAATTTTCATCTTTTTAATACACTTGCCATCATCTGAATCTCCCATATTTCCATGAGTTATTTCATTTACTTTCTGCTGTTATTCATTGTTGACTCAATTGTAGGATCAAACTATAGTAGATTTGTGGCCCATTTTTCTGTTATTAGCTGTTCCTTAATCTCAGCTTCATACAAGTGGGTTGCCGCCGTTGATCTCAGAGATTGTCTCGTATATTGTCCCTTAAATCCTGATTTTAACAAAGATTTGCAATACTTTTTGTCAAAACTTGGATACCAATTTCAGAATTTGTATACCTACAGAGATTTTTGTAGAAATATTTTGGAGAAATATGTATTACTTTCTTCATCCCATGAGGACATCTTTACTCATGAAGCTTTACATGGGAAGTGGTCAGAAATCAAGGGAACTATCATTTAAATCTAAATTTACCTGGCACTGTCGATTAAGTTAAACAATACCCTATTGTTTTCTCCCCTCACTCTCTTGATAATGTGTTATTACGTACTCATAGTAAATACATAACCATCACCTGGGACAGTATATTAAGTTAACAAAAGAGAAAATGTTTTAAGTAGGATAAAGTCCTCAAACTGTCCATTCTGTGAGAGAAAAAACTATTCTCGGCCCTTCGGGCCTCGAACAGTTCTTTCTCTCACAGAATGGACAGTTTTCGGACTTTCTCCTTTACATAGCAGCATCGTTAAGTTGAAACGATGGGGAAGCGTTTCCTCTTCTTTCGTTGTTACCACATATAACATTCGGCCAAAATTCAAGCTTTTCAAACGATTTCAAATGCGTGTTGTTGCTTCAATGTACCCTAGTGTAAAATATGTGTCATGTGCAGGTTGACTTAACATCATGCAGTGCTGTACCGACTTATGCAACGTGTGTTGTTATTTAGTATGTAAACAAGTAACAGCTTTTCAAAAAGCTTGCCTGACGTAATCAATCAATATCTGTAAGAAAAGTGATAAAACTTTTGAGCAATACTTTTTTGTGTTTGAAATATGTCTTTTTATTTGAGAACCTTGTAAAAATATTTAATTATTTAACTTGTAAAAGAACGATGCTTTTGCTGCATTCTGAAGAGTTGTTAACAGAATGGTTAATGTCTGTGGGTTTTCTGCCAATCGCAACTCCTCGGTCCCACTCATTGGGCCTTATCTAGGGAAGGAGGCCACAAATGTATCGTTAATTTATACGCCATGACACCCCCCCCCTTTCACAAACTTTGAAATAAAAGCATGGATGATGTGTGTAGACCTATTTTCTGTGGAATATGGAGTTAACTTTATTCAATGTCATGATATTATCTAAAATATACTAAAGAAGGGACTTCTAACTCCGTTTTTACTATGAACAGGAAATGTATAAATTTTTAACATCCGATGATGTCGATACATTCGAGTTTGTTTTTCGACCTCTGACGAAAAGACCCTAGATGATGAGATTGACTTTTCTGCAAGTAGATTAATCTACCCCTGGATCTATATTCAAAGCTACACCTATTCTGAAATCTTTTGTCAAATCATTCATTGTGAACATTTTAGAGAATGAATATAATTAAATACATATGTTGTAGGAAAGCATTTTCTCCAATGAAGTAAACAGTAGTAGTTTATGTTCGTTGATCTTTTTTTTTTTTGAGAACGAAATAGGTAAAACCAACATTTAGGCCTTTGTGGAAAAGAAATCCAAGATTTCGCACAAGTAATTTCTTTTTTCAAATCGTCTGGAACCTGGTTGAACTGCGTCGAGCGTTTGTGGTGATTGGACTAGTCCAATAAAATATGGAATAAACCAACAGAGGGAAAACAAATAAGAGAAATAATTTCTTTTGTTTTGCATGTCCATATTCTGATACATACGATTCATATGTTGTTTTAAGGAATAAGATATAATTTGTAGATAGAATTTCTGAATCATAAGAAGATGGAGGTTACAATAACAAACTTTATTTAATTCCATGGAATTAGCACCCCCATTCATACAATAGAACAATCCAAGAAAAGGCGCGAAGATGCTTACTCGTGACATTTGGCGCGAAAAGAGCGATTCACCCCTTTTGTAGAACATAAATGGACTGATCCAGTAGTATAGAAATGCAGAAAAAAAGATACACGGACACATTGAAACGGTAAATCACATGGAATAATCTGTTTCATGCAAACAGAGTGAACAAAGTAAATACTGCATTATTTTGCATCAGTAAAATCATTGTTTCCCCGAAAAAAGTTTCTTTTAAAATGCAGGTAAAAGATTTCCGATGTAAATCAGCTTGCACAAAATCTAGCTCTCTGGGTATGATCTATTAGTTTCGGATCACGCAATTATCAATCCTTATACAGCCTGACGCCGTGACGTCAGGCAATAATTGATGGTAGTCCGGAGCTTTTGTCTCTACTCTGCTTGATTCATTTGTAGGAAAAAATGTACCGATGAAAAATAAACCATTAGAAATGTTTTTTTTTCCTGTCAAATACGTTGTACATGTAGAAGGTCATTCAGTCTGGAAGAGTTTTCCGTAGCGCTGCACAAAATTTTAGGTGTGCTCGCTGCGTCGCCTTGACGTCAAATCCACTTTAAAGTAATCAGATTTTTTACAGTGCTTAAAATTCTTTTATTGGTATCCGTATTTCTTATCAAATTCTAATAAATGTAAAAAAAAATATACACTATAAGTACATAAATTAAATTGTCGTTCTTACCATGGTTTTAAACATTGGTGATTGTTTTTTTTACTATCTGATTTCGTGACTGCTCTGAGTACTCCTAAAATTGACACATTTATAGGCCTATACCATTGGAATAAAGAAATAAAATATTTGTAAAATGTTTTTTTGATTTTATTAATTATTAGTGTTTGTCAAACGTACATGTATGTGCAATGTCTCAATAATAAAAGTCTTCGTATAAATTTGTATATTATTCTCTTAAATGTTTTTTTTTTATTATTATTATTATTTATATTGAACATCAATATATTTTAACATTTAAAATTTCTGTTTCGGGAAAGCAGTACTTAAGAAAAAAATACAGATCTTTGAATGCAATATAAATTTAAGGAAAAGACGCACCAAAATTAAAGACATTGATCTATAGTACTTTCAAATTACCGCAACTTAAGTGCATGGATAAATGTGCGTAGTATAATGGTTACCTTGTGTATCTTGACGATTACATGTCAATAAACGTTAAATGTCCACTTTCTAGGATTATAGGGCTTTTGGCAAATAATCCACTTTACAATAATAACCTTTTCATTGAAAGTGACAAACACACAACACGCCTTGTCCTTTAGCAATTTTAATCAACTTTTACTCGACCTGGATTCTAGTACAATTAAACCATCATACAGTCGATGAGAATTGTCATAATTAAGGACCCTAAATGAACAATCAATTGATGTTCAATAAAAGGTTATGAGTCGAGCCATTTTCCTAATGAAGACCACAGTTATTCAACCCGTGCAGTGTAAGTACGGGAAGGCTTCCTGCTTTATTTGTTTCAGATAGCCATGCATCATTTTAAAGGAAGCTAAGCTCAAATTAACCGTTAAAAAACTGGCGACTTGGTGCCATGGTGGTATGCGTTTTGTCATGATGCTCACCTATTTGTTAGGCCCGTTCGGATGGGCCTTAAACATAACAGAGAGAAATGGGAGCAAATTTGGAAATAAAACTGTTTTAAATGAAGAATCAAATGAAAGTGTTCTTACATTTTCAACAGCTGAACTCGTCTCGGAAGGAATTATTCTCACAATGATTTGTTTTACAGCTATAGTTGGAAACACCTGCATGTGGATAATAGTTATACGGAATAAAGATCTGCGTACCGTGACTAATTCTTTTCTTTTGACACTCGCCTCTGCGGATCTTATGGTGTCCGTTGTAAATATGCCTGTGACCATTCTGACGATATTTAAAGGAGAGTGGGTATTTTCGGATGATGCATGTACGATACTTGGATTTACAAATATGCTTACACTGGTCACAAGTGTTCTATCCCTCTGCAATATAAGTATAAACAGATACATTATGGTGTGTAGACCTACAAAATTTAAGACAATATATACCAAACGAAATGCAGCATTAATGATTGCAGGTTAGAAGTTTGATTTCTTTCATAAATTGTCTAAACCTTCTTTGTAAATTCAAACCAAATTATGATACATTGTATGACATTTTTGTTTAATGATTCAATATACGGACATGCATGAATAAGATTTTTTCAGGTTGTTTAAGTTGTATTACCAATTGCAAAAAGTATAATGCCCCGTCGCCTCCGCATGGCACAGTTGTTGTCCAGAAGACCTCGTTTTACAAATGATCTAAGGTGACGAACTAAGTTGATCATTACGTCACGAGTTTGCATCCCACTGGGAAACGTGATGAACTGACCGCAAAAAATAAGGTTTTGTATACTGAGTATTCATGTATGGAATAAGATGCTGGCACGGGAATATTCCTTCATTGCTTACTGTCCATAAATACTGAGACTTCAGTGAAACATTATCAAAATACGACATCCAACGAATACGCCGTCGACTATCATTAGTGTCCCCTAGCAACGCAGAGCAATCTTTTTTCAGTCGTCTCCTTAAAATTTATAAGAGAACTATGAGAATTTGATCTTAATTTTTACTAGGCTTTTTTAACGTAAAGGTAGTCTTTGATAAACTTATCACAAACTGTCTATCTTTCAGGCCTGAGACATATATTTTGTGCTTGACTTTTAATATAATTTTTTGAAAAAGTTTTGATTAAACTTCTAAGCTCAATAAAATTAATATGATCCTTTATAAGATTAAGCATGATTCTGTATTTTATTCATGATAATTTAGGCTTAAATTCGGTATATTTTTTTTTTATTTTACCTCCTTGCAAATGTCCTTGAAAAACTGTTAGCGATAGTATTGTTCTACCACACAATCAATTTTCAAAAGTTGATATATTTGAATGAATTCTCTTATATCTACAGATACATGTGTTTAATTAAGAAATAAACAACGTTATTTAGTGAACACGGCGTTATGAATAGCAATTGCTCTGCTGGTATATTCCATGATGAGCGCTAGCGCATCATGGAAAATATGCCAGCAGAGCTATTGTTATTCATAATGCCATGTTCACTGAATAATCGTTGTTTATTACTTATATTTGCATTCTTTGATTTTTTTTTTTCAAAAATCAAAGGAAATCCTTACTTACATAAGGACGCGGCTTCTTCAGTTCTTGTCCTCAGTTATAAGAAAAACATACGGCTTTAAAATCAGTACTCCTGATCAATGCTCCTTTTCTCTAATAAATCACAAACAATTTATAAAGTATTTCCCTCTCAAACACAGTTATCTGGATAAAGTTGCGCCGTCATCACATTCTCTTAATTTTTGTTTGGACGCAGTTGTGACGTCATCGATCAACGTTATTGAAACCCTCTGACATAATCAGGCGCGTAGCCAGGCGTACGTTTGTACTCACAAACGTCCACATCATTTTTCAAAAAAAAAAAAATGAAAAAGAAAAAAGATAGAAGGAAAAGAAAGAGAAAATCAACAGAATCAGTGTTAGGGGAAAATACGAGAGTATAAACCTCACTGAAATCAAAGGATTTTCCCAGATTTTGGTTAAGTATCGAATATTTGCTGAGGTGTTTTTTTTCCAAGTGTAATTACATTCCGAAAGAGTTTCTCTATTGTAGATTTAACACTAAAGAACCCAAATCGGTTCTCTTAAAACAAGCGATAATTTTATTTAATGCCAAGAATTTCAATTTTTATTACTGGAAACTAACTTCCAACCGGTATGCTTAACTTCTGTAACGATATCCCCCCCCCCCCTTCCAAAAATAAATTACCTAATATTGGATTCGAATCGTGCGAGACTTCAAACATCATAATTCAGCTTTATATATGAACATCAAAAAACGAAAATTGGTGAAATTCAGTTTACCCTTAAAAAATAAGTCCTCTCAAGTATTGACATCCGTACCACTACCTGACAAGTTTTTTTAATTGTTGCAAAAAGCTAGATACCAGAATATGTGAATATTTACAAACATTCAATTTAAATGTACATAGGTATTGTGCAAGAAAAGAATTCTTCTGTCTTTGCTATTTTCAATCTTTAGAGATATATTTTTAATATTAATGTAAGCTTGACTATCAGTCAATTACGCAGTCTGTCTAAACCAGTCAACTACTCTAACCAACTGTCGTATGTTAACTATACGTATTTTTTCGAGCTTCAAAAGTCTAAAATTTAAGTTGCTTTCGTCAAACGAAGCTATTGGACATATCCATTCTCTTTATTTAGTAACTGTCCGCATTTTTTACATGGAAAGAACAGACCTCAAATCCGGCTGCGTAACAAACTGAAAAAGTGCAAGAAAAATGTTATCACAAGGGCCAAATATGCACATCGAAATCGTCGGAAATTCACCGGTTTCCGGGGAGCTTTTGGGGGCCTTAAGGTGCCCCCCCCCCTTTTCAGGCGTCCACATCAAAAGTACCCTGGCTACGCCCCTGATAATCAATAATATTTAACACTATGATGAAAAATGAGAATGCTTTTATAACGATTATTACTCCAGAATGCTTTTCTATGATTTTATTTTTAGTTTTTCTATTTATTTTTTAATAGCTGAAATCATTCTTGAAATAGATATACTAGTTGAAGAAATTTTCTCTTTCTGAATGTTATTACCCAAGTGTGAAGAGTTATTGTTCTTTGTACAAATATGCATGATACTAAAACAAGAGGCCCAGGGGCCACAGCGCTCACCTGAGCACATCAGCTAGGAAAATGCCAAATTAGATAAGATCTGGGAACTGAGTTTACTGAGGGGAGGGGGGGAGGGCTTGAATTATAACCCCCCAGAGGGTCATGATTTGAACAAACTAGCATCTACACTACCTGAGGATGATTCCATATAAATATAACTAATCATGGCTTTGAAGTACTTGAAAAAGAAGATTTTAAAAGGTTTCCCTATATATCCCTATGTAAAACTTCGGTAGGCCATTTTGGCCCCACCCCAGCCTTGGAGGTCATGATTTGAACAAACTTGAATTTTCACTACCTGAGGATGATTTCACATGAGTTTCAGCTTTCCTGGCCCAGTGGTTCTTGAGAAGAAGATTTTTAAAGATTTTTCCTATATATTCCTATGTAAAACTTGGGTCGGCCATTTTGGCCCCACCCTAGCCCCGGGGGTCATGATTTGAACAAACTTGAATCTACACTACCTGAGGATGGTTCCACATGAGTTTCATCTTTCCTGGCCCAATGGTTCTTGAGAAGAAGATTTTTAAAGATTTTTCCTATATATTCCTATGTAAAACTTGGGTCCGCCATATTGGCCCCACCCTAGCCCCGGGGGTCATGATTTGAACAAATTTGAATCTACACAACCTGAGAATGATTCCACATGAGTTTCATCTTTCCTGGCCCAGTGGTTCTTGAGAAGAAGATTTTTAAAGATTTTTCCTATATATTCCTACTTAAAACTTGGGTCGGCCATTTTGGCCCCACCCTAGCCCCGGGGGTCATGATTTGAACAAACTTGAATCTACACTACCTGAGGATGGTTCCACATGAGTTTCATCTTTCCTGGCCCAATGGTTCTTGAGAAGAAGATTTTTAAAGATTTTTCCTATATATTCCTATGTAAAACTTGGGTCCGCCATATTGGCCCCACCCTAGCCCCGGGGGTCATGATTTGAACAAATTTGAATCTACACAACCTGAGAATGATTCCACATGAGTTTCATCTTTCCTGGCCCAGTGGTTCTTGAGAAGAAGATTTTTAAAGATTTTTCCTATATATTCCTACTTAAAACTTTGGTCGGCCATTTTGGCCCCACCCTAGCCCCGGGGGTCATGATTTGAACAAACTTGAATCTACACTACCTGAGGATGGTTCCACATGAGTTTCATCTTTCCTGGCCCAGTGTTTCTTAAAAAGAAGATTTTTTAACAATGCCATTCATTTTTCTCTAATTCATAATTATCTCCCCTTGGAAAAGGGCGTGGCCCTTCATTTGAACAAACTTGAATCCCCTTTACCCAAGGATACTTTGTAGCAAGTTTGGTTGAAATTGGCCCATGCAGTGGTTCTTGAGAAGAAGATGAAAATGTGAAAAGTTTACAACGACGACAACAACGACGACAACAACGACGATGACAGACGACGGACAAATTTTGATCAGAAAAGCTCACTTAAGCCTTCGGCTCAGATGAGCTAAAAATAAAAATATGGCAGTTCTCTACAATCTTTAAAAAGTTTTATGATACAATTAAATATATTGATCAAAATTGAGTTTTGATATAAATCAGCAATTTTAAATATTCTGAATTTCTTTTTTTTCAAAGAATATTATTAAAAACTTATATTTATTCCTCTTACGAAACATCTCATATATATACTTCTCAACACAACAAGGAATTGTATTAAGGCTTGTTCTACACGAGTGGGATAGAGCAGTTGCACTCATGTCAGAAGCAATTGCCTCCATAGTCCTATGATGACTTCATAGTGGGAGAGAGCAGTGTATATCCAAATATTGCAGTGTATATGAAATTTTATAAAACATACTCGACCCTGGAAGGGACAGGACGTCCCTAAAATACATGTTGTCTTCTCTACTGTTCGAGGTGTTGGTCATTTTAAGTGCTAATATATTGATTAAAATACCATCTTTAAATAATTTTGTAATTTCGTATTATGTAACGAAATTATCTATTGAAGAAAAATCAAATGTCGGCCGAGAGGGACATCTGATATTTTTGAGTCTCTTTATTATTTCAAGCAGAAAATATCCGCCACAAGTTCTTATGTAATAAATAACATGTACTTCTTTCATGTTTATAATTATGTCCCCAAAGTTAGCCAATGAAATCATCCGAAAATTCGCCACGCAATTGTCATTAAAGAAGTGAACG